GGTCTTCAGATGTTGACTCTTTAAACCCTAAAGGGTTTAGGGTTTAGGGTTTAGGGTTTAGGGAACCCAAAACTCAATTCTACATGAGGGGGGGGGGGCTGGTTCTCGCTAAGAGCTACTCTAGATGATATAACTCCTGCGTAACCGTAAGGACCCTAAACTATGGGAAGTATGGTGTAGTCCTCATTATGCTAAGCCCTAAACCCTAAACCCTAAGCCCTAAACCCTAAACCCTAAACCCTAAACCCTAAGCCCTAAACCCTAAACCCTAACCCCCATTATGGGGCATGCAGGATTTTTATCATCAGCCTCAGGAGGTGTACTTTGCTCCACAGAGAAGGACTGGACTTGAAACGGTTTAAGGTTTAGGGTTTTGGGCTTTGGGTTTAGGGTTTAGGGTTCAGGGTTTAGGGTTTAGGGTTTAGGGTTTAGGGTTTAGGGTTTTGGAACCTTAAACCCCATAGTGCTCCTTAATGGTTAAGGGTCTAGGGTTCCTTTAGCGGTTTAGGGTTTAGGGTTCCTCTAAGGTTACTATAGGGTTCTATAATTAACAGGATCCCTTTTGAGAGTGCTAGTGGGCTTGATAATAGGGTTCCCTTTATCATAACCCTTACGGTAATATATTATAGAAACTCTTGGGGTCTTATAGTAACCAAACTCCAAACACTAAACCCTAAACCCTTATGAGAAGCCCTTCAAAGGGAATCCTAACACTCTTGTAGCAACCAAACTCTAAACCCTAAGCCCTAAACCCTGAAACCTGAACCCCCATTGACCTTGATTCCACTAGACTTACCCTAAACCCCACAACCCTCAACCCTAACTGTAAACCGCCCGAATTCCTTAAACCTTAAACCCTAAACCCTAAACCCTAAACCCCACACCCTAAACCCTAAATCCAGTAAGGACAAGATCTTCGAGGTCAACGGCGAGGCAGCCGGGCTTTATAGGGTTTTCGAAGGTTTAGGGTTTAGGGTTTAGGGTTGAGGGTTTTCCTTGCGGTCTTATCTTGGGTCTTGCAATTGGAGGTTCATGGGACTTAGTAAGTGCAGTTACAAGTACCTCAACTGGGGTCAAAACTATTCATAAGTGTAGTAACCTTGTTTCTCAGCCTAGTTATCAAATATCATGAACCTTGAAGTAGTAGACCCTAGACCCCTAAAGGCACTAAAGCCTGAAAGGGAAGCCTATTATAGAACCCTATAGTACCCTTAAAAGGAACCCTAAACCCTAGTTACTTAGGATTTCAGAAAGACTTTGTAGTGGCTTCCCAAGGTTGTCTGGGTGTTGTGATATGGGCGCCTGCACGGTTAGGAATGTTATTGCCGCTGGTTCCCATATATATATATATATATGTATATATATATATATATAATGAAAGCACACACACACACATATATATATATACATACATACACATGCACATACACATGCACATGCACATGTACATATACATATACAGTTACATATATGTACACCGACACATACATTTACAATAAATACATGCATGCATACATACATACATACATACATACACAGACGTACATGTATACATATAAACATACATGCATATATATATATATATTTATATTTATACGTATGCACATACAGCTGCACATGAATCTATACATATATACATATAGACACGTTCACAAATATTTATATGTCTATGCGTTCACATACATAAACATGTATGCACAGATGGATAGATGCATAGATAGATAGATCGTGGGTACATAGATAGATGATAGACAGTTGGATAGTTGGATAGAAAGATAGACAGATAGATACATAGATCGGTATACAGATTGATGGATGTGTAAATACATGAGCACATACACTGACACCTATGTATATATATATATATAGATATATATACACATGGATATGCATATATGTATATACTGTATGTGTATCAATAATCAACCGAATAGCAGAAATAACATAATTATCAATCCATGAACTATTGAGTCAACCAAACACATTTGTTTGTTCTCATTCTCTCTCTATGTGTGTGTGTGTACATGTATGTATATAGCCATGCTTGTGTGTGTGTGTGGGGACCCTGCATTTTCATGTGACAGCCATCTCAGCGAGCTTGTCGTCGGCAAGCCCCGAACCCTAAACCTGCGTGCCAGGCTTGCAAATGTTTGGATAGCTAGGAAGTTTACTTTTGGGCCACCGGTGGGGGATCGCAGAATCCGGCTCGTGGCGGCAGTGGAAGGATGCCTGCAGCTCGCAGGGAATCGGGTTATAGACTACCCAAGCCCTAAACACCGGCGACATGCATAAGTGACTATCAGCAGTCGAACTTGTGACGGCGAGGATGATCAGTCTGGTTCTTGAGGTCCAGATTGTTACTGTTGAGCGGGTTGAGAGGTCTGCTGCGGTCCGGACTGTGCTTTCTTTCCTGGTGTCCGCACAGTTCCCTGTCAAATGCCGGCTGCTGCAGTCTTGCGCAGTGGCGTGGCGGAGTCTTGGGAAAGAGGTGGGCAGGGGCAACCCCCACCCACAGCAGAGGCCCGCACATTCATTGTCTTCGCTAAGACAAGAGTTTCCTTAGCCACATCCTCTTGACTTCCAAGCTTGTTGCTTAACCTTGCGTTCCCGGAATGCCCGCGCAAAGCCTGCTGGGACTGAAATCCATATTTCGATCGCAATCCTACGTGCAAAGCCTTCGTCTCGAAGCTTTCAGCCCGAATCCCTCAACCTCAAACCCCGAATACTAATCCCGCCGCCCTCTGCTGCTTGGGTGGAAGCTCTTTAGCCACTGCTCAGCCGTGTCGTTCACTTGGGCCCGGTCTCAAGATGTCAAGTCTGAATCGAGTCACCGCAATGTTGATAAGCAGGCAAATCGCCATATTCTAGAAACAATGGCGGCTCTTGCTGGTTTAGGGCTTGGGATGTTTACGGCTCTAAGGTTAGAGCTTTCTTCGTGTTCGGGTGAGATCTTGTTTCGGAATGGGGAGCATGGGATCTTTTGGGATTCTGAAGAACATCTGGCTGGGGTTAGAGTTAGAGTTAAGCACATCCTGTTGGTAGAACCCAACATCCGGACAGGCTTCGTTGATGAAGAGTGTTACGACAACAGTGGTATTCGCAGTGGTTGTAATTGTATGGAATCCCGGTCGTGGCAACGCCAGTAGTAGGGGGCGGTCTAGGACCGGGTGTCATTCCACGTTCGTGCGTGTTTGGCTTCGGGTGCCGGGTTTTAGGTATGTGTGTAATGTGTAAGGCAGGACGGGTCTTGATGTGGATCCTCTTTACACCCAAGTGCTAGAGCCGACACCACCACATACCCAAGCATGGGATCCCAAATCAGTTTGAGACTTGACCCTTGACCAACGGCCATCGAAGCCGGACGGCCTGGGCGAATCAGTTTTCGGTTTGTCAATGTTACTTTTCTGTACACTTTCCCGAGCATTTTGTAGTGTAACACAGGTCTTGTAAACATCACCACTGTAGGGTTGCTGTTTGTCCTGCTGCTGCTGCTGCCGCTACTACAACTACAACCACTTCTGCTACTGCTGCTGCTACTACTACTACTACTACTACTGCTACTATTACTATTTTACTACCGAAACCACCGCCGCCCTTACTCCTCCAGGGTTACCCCTGAGGGTTGAAGCACAACATCTGACTTCAAAACTTTCGCCGGAGCCGATCCTCAGTCTTGAGCGCGTCGTTACCAGGTCTCCCAGCCACCTTCGAAACCGCTAAACCCTAAACCCTAAACCCTAAACCCATAAACTGTTTGGTTTTTTAGATTTAGGAAAACCGGCAAGAATGAAAGCTCTGGGTTCTCGCTACTTCAACCCACTTAAAACCGCTCTAGACTTCAATCTATAAAACTCGGGATTACATAGTACAAAACTTAAAACGTTTCAGGGTTTTGTTGAGGTTGCAAGTGTCGGATCTTCAGGATACCACGGGGGAGGACACATGGTGGTAAACGCGCAGTGAGACTGTTCATGCCTTTCCAACCAACATGATCAAAACGCCCTAAACCCTGAACCCTAAATCCCACACCCCGACATCCTCAACCCCAGACAATGAACCCTGAAGCCTGGAACCTGAGTACTGAAGACCTGGTTGCATCACGATCAGAGCCTTTTACGGTTTCCTCTCTCGGTCTGGCAGAGAGCGTGCCACGGTGCCTCGTAGCGTTGGTTTAGGCCTGAATACTTCAGAGTTCGGGGCGTCAGCATTGAAGTTTATGCTGCTTTGCTGCATAAGCCTCAAAGTTTGTGGCTGGAGCCTTCCATCAAGATTCAGACAGTTTATTGGCTTGGAGCCGAGAGAATCATCCGGCGAATTGTAGGCTTCAAAACAAGATCTAAATTTCGAACTAGTTCTTCATAACTTACGCTTGAAGAAACCGATACGAAGATATTCTCGACTGGAATATGGGTCTGTGGCGTTCTGTGGGATGGATATATAGCTGTATGAAACAGGTAATGCCCAGTTGGGACGATCCTGTTAGCATACGGGAGTGGAAAAACGCGCAGGAGGTCTGAAAGGCCCTCGAAAACCCAGCAGCCTTTCAATGTGGTGTGTTTCCTGATTCCGGTGAGGGATCAAAAGGGTTTCTACCAGCGAGATAGGCTTAGGCTTCGACCCGAAGCATTGCGGACACTGAAGTGTTGAAAGTGTGTTTTTGTTCAAGTTCCTTTCTCTCGGACACTTGTGCGGCCAGGCATGCGTTCGTGTTTTCTGTGGTAATGTGTTGAATTTTCCATCATCTTACCACAAGGATGTTCACAGTGGTCTTTTCATGATCAGTTCGACATGTTTTTTTGCAGCCGTTCTTGTTTCATATTGATTTTAGATATTTTAGGGAAGTCGGACAGAGCGGTTTGCGGTCATTCAAGGCAGACTGGGCGTGGAGCTGTGTAGTTCGGAGCTTCAGGATGTAAGGGTTTCGGAGTTTAGGGCTTCAGAGTTTAGTGATCTTTAGTGATCTTTAGGCATTGTTGTGCTAAAGGGAAGCAAAAAAGCAGAGCAGGGCACCGCGGCTGTGCTCGTCGGAGACGGGCGGCCACAAGATCAGAGCACAGGCGGCTTTTGCGGACGAATGGCACGAACGGAGCGATTCCGTCGTCGTGCAAGTTGCCGCTTCATACTTGTACTTGAAAGAGGTTGGGGGTTTCCTAACCCTCGCGATGGCTACTTCCTATGGGCTTGTCCCTCTTGGGCCCAAGCTCGTGCTCGAGAAAGCCACGACGTTGGAGCAGCGGGTGGAGGCGACAAGGGCAAGGCTGCCAATTGTGGAGTTTCTGGGGCTGCACTTGGAAGGGAGTTTTGCGGAGGCGATGTTGCAGTAGGGGTGCTTCGCTTCGGAGTTAGCTAGTGAGCACGTGTGTGGCCGACTTCCCAGCTGATGATCAGAGCCTGGGTTCAAAAAACTAGTAACTAGTGAGTGAGTGAGTGAGAGAGTGAGTATGAGAGTGAGAGTGAGATTGACAGTGACAGGGAGTGAATGAGTGAGTGAGTGTGAGTGAGTGAGTATGCGCGTGAGTGAGCGAGTGAGTGAGTTAGTGAGTGAGAAGTGTGGTGCGACATGTTTTTCTTTGCAGCTGTTCTTGTTTCATATTGATTTTAGGGAAGTCGGACAGAGCGGTTTGCCGTGGTTCAAGGCAGACTGGGCGTGGAGCTGTGTAGTTCGGAGCTTCAGGATGTAAGGGTTTCGGAGTGTAGGGCTTCAGAGTTTAGTGACCTTTAGTGATCTTTAGGCATTGTTGTGCTAAAGGGAAGCAAAAAAGCAGAGCAGGGCACCCCGGCTGTGCTCGTCGGAGACAGATCAGAGCACAGGCGGCTTTTGCGGACGAA